CCAACACTCATTGTCACATTTTTTTTCTCTGTGATTTATCATAACATTTTGTGTATATTTCCCTGTGCTATACAGTGTAATCTTGTTTATCTATTCTACAATTTTGAAATCCCAGTCTATCCCTTCCCACCCTCCACCCCCTGGTAACCACAAGTCTGTATTCTCTGAGACCCTACCTTTCTACATGTCTCATCAAGCCTTACATTTGTGGCTTGTAGATGGTTAGACTCTACAACACATTGTGACATTTGTTATATCAATTTCCCCAGTGGTAAATTCAAAAGAAACCTGTTTTACTTAGCTGAGTTCCTCTCCTTTTGAAATAGGGCAATTAGATTTTCTGATGTGGCAACCTTACATCATTTCTTCTATAGTATCCACCTAGTACATTTACCAGGGAGTTGGCTTATTACAGCTACACCTAAACCCACAATGGCAGTTCCAAATTTTGTAAAAGCAGACTCTGAAACAGCTTGCAAAATTCACTGAATCTGTCTGCCCTAAAAAAAATATTATTTGAGAATGCACTTACTCCAAACATGGTAGAGGCCGTGGTAAACACCAAGATGAGTAAGGCATGGCCCTTATATTCAGAGACGTGTAACTGAGAAAGAGGAATAAAGAGGGGAAAAAAAACCCACAGAAAGAGGAGACAGAATATGGAAAATACCCTGAGTATATAAACTGTACGTGCAAAGGTTGGAGAAATGAATTTGGTATTTAAAACACCCTGTTTGGCGCAAGAAGAGGGTGGTGGAGTTCATGGCGATTAAGACTCAGCAAAGCCCACAGAGACATTTTCTCTGCTGCTCCAGTTAGAAAAGAGTGACAAATAAGGCTGATTCCTAGGAAATCAGAAATAGACTCTCTCCCTAGAGGAGGATCTTCTCCTACTCTGTTTTTAATAGCTGAGATGGTGCTGGGAAATGAACCGATTTGGGAGTGGTGCTGTGGGAGAAGGTGGCGCTTTGGGGCAGATTTGGTTTGGGTGATGATTTCCCAAGGAGGAGAGTTCGGTCTGAGGTCCAGAAAGATGCTGAGAACTGGGCTGGGTTTCTCGCCATCCTGCAAGAGTGGAAACTGAGCCCCCATGTGTTCTGCCCCATCCAGCTCCAGGGACAATAAAAGTCAATTTGTCGTTTCGATATTCATCAGGCGAGTTCACCAAAGACTATGCGTTTCTATCGTCTTGTTCCTCCTTGGCCACCCAGAAATCCCACTGTGGCCAGTCCTCAGTCTGGAGCCTGGAATATATGCATGGCTTTCCTTTCCAGGATAGCTGATCAGGGTCCCCATCGCCGTCCCCAGCAAGGAATGTTGTTTATTGATTTTAAGGAATTCTGGGAACCTGCATTCCAGGGCAGCTTATCAAAATACTGGTCAAGTTAATATGTCATTTGATTACCCCCTCATGGCTGCCAGAGATTCCATAAATTTGATACATAAATAAATATAAATCACATCCTTTTTTACCCTTTACCTTTTCTCCCACTAGTGACAAACTACTGAGTTGTTCAAACTTGACTGACTAATCTTGAAATGCATAATACCATGTGTTTCAAAAGGAAGTTGGGAGACGTGGGTGAAAATCTTGACTCTCCTACTGTGAGCAAGTGGTCTGGATTCAACAGTGTGGTCTCTTATGAAATGAGATTGAATTTTCTCCTATATCTTTCCAAAACAGGTCCTCGCTAATCATTCAGGTGCCAGTAGAAATAGCAACTCCTCAGAGAGGACTTCCCTGATCACTCAATTTAAGTAGCCTCTCTCTCCCCCAGTCACTCTCTATCCTACTAGAGCCTGGCATTTATTTTTTAAAGTTTTATATTTGTCTTAATTTTTTTAAATCATAGAGCTTGCTTTGTCAAATGTTATCCAAATTATTTATTTTCTAACTCCTTTAACAAGAAAGTAAACTGCACATGGGCAGGAGTCTTTTCCGTCTTATTTTTAATCTAGTCTGGCATGCTATCTGCCGTAGGCTAAGCAGTCAATAAATATTTCTGGAAAGCAATATCCAGCGAATTGGATTTGGCAAAGGATTCATAGAAATGACCCTGCTATGGGATGAACTGTGTTGCCCCCACCCAAGAATTCACAGGTTGATGCTCTAACCTCTGGTACCTCCAAATGTGACTATACTTAGAGGTAGGATCTGTTGAAGAGGTAATGAAGCCTATATGAGCTTGTATAGATGGGCCCTCATTCAATATGACTGGTGTCTTTAATAAGAAGAGGAAATTTAGACACACGAAGAGAAACCAGGGATGTGTGTATGCAGAAGAAAACACATGTGAAGAGGCAGCAAGAGGAACACCATTTGCAAGCCAAAGAGAGAGACTTCAGAGGTGACCAAAGGTGTTTTTTGTTATGGCAAAACCAAAAGCAGCCCTAGCAAACCAATCAGGCTCTGAAAGCACATGCGGCACCACCCACAGATAGACGAATGGGACTCCATCAAAATTAGAACATTCTGTGCACCCAAGGACATGCTTAAAAAAGTGAGAAGACAATCTAAAAAACGGGAGAGGGGGGAAATTTACAAATCATATCTCTAATAAAGGTTTAATATCCAAAATACACAATATATTAAATATATCATATATTATAGTATGTATTAGCCATCTAAATATATAAAGAGCTCCTGAAACTCAACAACAAGAAGACTAACAACCCAATTAAAAAATGGGCAAAATACTTGAACAGACATTTCTCAAAAGGAGATACACTGATGGCCAATAAGCACACGGAAAGATGTGTTCCATAGTCGTTAGGGAAATGCACATCAAAAACAAAGGTGTTACTTCCTGTCTACTCGAATGGCTATAATCAAAAAATGGAAACTCACAAATGTTGCCGAGGGTGTAGAGAAACCAGAACCTGTGTACATCACTGATGGGAATGTAAAGTACTGAGGGAAACAGTCATAGCTCCTCAAAAAGCTAAACACAGAATTAAGATCCAGTGATTTCAGAACGAATTGAAAAGACAACTCAAAAGAATTGAAAACGGACTTGAACAGGTTCTTGTATGCCGGTGTTCATGGCAACATTATTCCCAATAATCAGAAAGTGTAAAAAACCCAAGTGTCCCTCAACAGACTGACGGAAAAACAAGTGTTAGATCCATACACTGGAATACTGTGCAGCCATAAAAAGGAATGAGGTTCTGACACAGGCTACAACATGGATAAACCTTGAAAACATTATGCTAAGTGAAATAAACCAGACACAAAAGGACAGCTATAATATGATTCCACTTATATGAAATGTCTGGAACAGACAAATTCATAGAGACAGAAAATAGGTTCTGAGGGTTCCAGGGGATAGGGAAAATAAAAATGAGGTGTTATTGCTTAATAGTTACAGACTTTCTATTTGGGGTGACGAAAATGTTTCAGAAATAATGGTCATGGTAGCACAACATTGTGAATGTATTCAATGCCACTGAACTGTACACTTAAGAAGACTTAAAAGGGCAATATTTGTTACAATATTTCATCACAAAAAGGAAAACTATTAAGTGAATAAATGATTTACAGCACCAGTCTTATCTTCTCCCAGGTTAGACTTCTATTATCAGATGATTAAGATAACTGATACTAGATTTAAGAAGCTTGTCTTCCATTTGAATTTTATTTCTATGATGAGTTTGGCCGGATACTAATATGGTTTTTGTTAAGTTGGGAACTTTTGACTCTGCATATACTTTTCCTTGGAAGCAAGCTTAAAAAAGCATGTCTTCTCTATAGCTGCAGACGAGGTTAAGCTCCCTGTGAATACAGCTTGTATTTTTTTTTCTCTGATGCTCATCCACACCTGTATCCCTAGTATGGTGTGTGGCACATAGTAGGTGCTCAAGAAAAACTTATTAAATGGCAGAAATAGTAAATGTAGCCAGAATAGCCTAACTCTTCTAGGGCATTATGACAAATTATAGCAACTTAACTTTATATGTAACATCAAACTCCCACATTAAACTATCAAATTAAAGTAAGTTTTCTTTTTCCATCTTCAGTAGGAATTCCCCAGCAAAGTTAGTTTTTTTTTTAAGGTCCAAATCTTCTTCAAAATGGCATTTCTCTGAGTTACTATGGGTAGAAAAATGCCCCATATAATTTATTTAAAGTTTCATCAAGGACTCCTAGTAAACTCTTTTCTTCCAAATAGATTGTGTGTGTAAGGAGGATATAAATGTCTTTGAAACATAACATTTCTGTACTGAAAATGCCCCATTTGGAGCTTCCACAGAACCAAAGCACACATAACAGAGGATGGAAGGGCTATTGGAGGGAAGGCGGACTCAACCTGGAGGCAAATAGGGGTTCCAATAGATTTCAGGAAACACAACCTGACGCTGCAGATGGAGCCCCTTCCTCATGACTTACTCTGATTCACTGTAGGCATCGTGACATCCTTGAGCTTCAGTCGTTACTGCAAAATTGGAATCACTAGATCTATGTAATTTGATCATGGTAACAGTTAAATGAGACGATGAGTTGACGAGCTCCCGAATTCAGGTGGTGTACTGAGCAATCCTTCCCACCACCAGTCACCACCATGTCCTCCCTCATAAAGTAAATGGAAAACCTGTGTGACACACAGAGGACCACAGACCCCTGTAACTAGGACCCTCATGCCTCAGCATGGAACCTCGGCTCTTTGATCTACTGGGCAGCCCCTGGTCTGGAAGCGGCCACCGTCCTGAAGACCCAGGTCCCTGCGGCCCTGTTCACATGCATCTCATCAACCGTCAGTAGCATTTCCTGCTGTATCAACACAGTTAACAGGATCGTCCTTCTCAAGTGCCTGTCAACACGCTCTGATATGAAAACGTGCTGTTGAAAACAAAAAACAGATTTTTCTATCAAACCTCTTGGCCTTTAAGTTTTACTGCTGTGTATAGTATTTTGACCTATGTGGACTTTCTCACGGATGTTTTGTGTGACCAGGAAGAGCCTGACCTCAGTAGGAATGTATGAATAGAAACTTCACCAGTTGTCAAGATGCTTGACTTTCCAAAACAGTTTAAAGGGATGGCTTGTCCAAAGCTTACCCCTAGTTCTGAGGCTTCTTTTCTGTCACTCTCCAGGAAGGATTGGACAGGACCAGTATGCTTTGAGAATAATTAACTTTTACGGAAGACCCGTAGAAAGCTTGCAGCAAAGCAAGTGGTGATAAAAACACAGCGTCCTGCCCTTTGCAAGGAAATCGCTCTCATGGCCAGGACTGATTTCAGCCTACCAAGGATTAAACTGTTTAATTGGACTTCTGGTTAGGCATGGGAGAGTCTGCATTCCCCATTCCTGAAGGCAAAACTGCTAACCAGGCACCGCTGACAGTGCACCACTGATAGTTTTGGACTTGCTTTCTCACTTGCTGATTATATCAAGGGGAAGTATTTTGGCTCAGAACTAGTAGGTCTTTAATACCTCTCTGTTAAAAAAGAGAGATTACAGAGCATCAAAGAGAGAACAAGCCTGGGGCTAGAACCTTTGGAAGGCAACTGTGTCTCATTAGAAGGTAATGGAAAAAAAAAACAGTGAAAATAATACAATGTTTAAAACTTCTTTTTATGGCAAATGATATAAGGATTACTTTTTAAGTATTTCTATTTGGGGGGAGAAAGTGAATTGTCTTAGAGATAAATATTATGGAAGTATTAGTACACAGGGTCCTCCGAATATGTCCTGAGGGATTCTGATGTTTCCCTCTAACCTACTTTTTGCCCCTTTACTTCCAACCCAAGAGTAGAGAACGAACACGGGGTATTTTGAATCCCTGGGAAATTCTACACACAATAGAACAAGGGTCATTTTTAGAATCACAGCTGTTTCCATCAGATAATCTCAAAAGTTTCTTTAGCCTGTACCTGCTCACTGTTCAGATGAGACTCCTGGGGCCCAGAGAGGCAATCAGATTTGCCCAAATTCACAGTGGCAGAGCCAATGTAAGGACTCACGGCTCCCTGCTCACCATCTGCCGAGTGAAGCCACCCAAGCAGGTCTGGGGCAATATGCCACCCTTCTCAGTTCCAAATCTTTCTTCCTGCAAACACTAGGCTGTAGATATTGGCCAACTGGGACAAGAGGAGCTTCAGCCTGCCAGCTCCGAGGCAGAGACCATCTGGTGTGTGAGAAAGACGTGTGACGATGACCTCAGGGAGGAGATGACACCAGCCCCAAAGCCACTGGAGACCCTGCAGTTCCGTTCCTCCAAAGAGCTTGATGACGGTCTGTTCTTTCCTATGACACGGGAGTCTATCCTGTGTTTGTTATTCCCACAGCCCAGTCCCAGGGTGGGCCCTCTGCGATTACTTCCCAGCCCCACCCTGTCTAAACATCCATCCCCTACTCGGTTCTCCTGGTTACCCCAGCAGAATGTCTCTAAACTCTACTGCTGATAAAAGCCAAAGCCACTGTACCAAATGTCAGGGGGGTCTGTGTCATTTTGTTTACTAGATTCGGTCCCATTGATCATTAGAAACCCACTTATGCTTTAACAAGAACAAAAACAAATTCAAATGAAAAAATCGCCATAAGGAAAATTACTTCCTGGTCTCACGTGTCCAAACAGCCATTGGTCCACACAGATACTATTGATTCATGGATAGTGTGTATATATATTCAGTGTATGTATGTGAGTGTATATATATACACACACACACACATATATATACACACACTGAACACGGCCAAGATTGTACTGGACACAATTTTTTTTCTCTTTGGATTTTTCTTTTCTCTTTTGGTAACCAGAGCAATTGGGAATTCTATAAAATTAAGTGCATTGGTGTCCTCGAAGGAAAAGCACATTGATTTGTTTCAGATTCACGAGATCAGCAGGAATGGAATCTAAATTCTGCTAGAATGACACCCAAGCTGGGATAACGCATCTTTCTGGAAACTTAGGTTAAGGATATTCCCTTGTGTGCCAGAATTCACTCTCAGCCATCTTGACCGGCATTTTCTTATGCGTAGCAAACATCAAATGAGGAATCCATTTGGATAAAGAACTGTGAGGAGACAGTTCTACAAGAAAGGGAGCAACTCTGTGCCTCTCTCTCCTTCTGTTCTAACATGCAGTTTCCACCTGCTCTTTCTTCAGTGAGAGATCTGGATGAAAGTGCCTGATGCAGAATGAAAATTCATACTATGCTGTCAGAGGCTGGTCCAGGATCATTTCCTGATGTCACCTGGTCCTCAAGCAGAAGACTGTTGATACACAAGCACAGAGACAGATCAGCACAGCCGTCAAGAACCTGGCTGGGAAGTCAGACTGCCTTCCTTTGAGAATCCTGGCCCCAACACGAAGGAGTTCTGGACTTGAGGCACCTAACTTCTTCAAGCCTCCATTTCCCCATCTTCAAAAGGGAGAATACAACAAGATCTTCCTCCCAGGTTGTGGAAGGGTCATACAATACCCTTAGAATGTGCCTGGCACTAAGCTTTTATGGTTCTGACATGACATGCACGTGCCAACAATAATAAAAACTGTTAGTAGTTTTTATGCATGGGTCAGCCTTTGCTCACCCCCAAGTAAAGAAACTGGGTTCTAAATTCTCCCTCTTGCCTGGTGTATTTGAAATAGAATGAGTAGAACTCTCATCCCAGCCCCAGCACTAATTCAGAATCTTGACAATGGGTAAATTACTTCCTCTCTGTATTCACCAGGATTCTCTTGGTTTTAAGTAACAGAAACCCAGCTCAAACCAGTTTAAATGTAAGATAAGATTTATCAGATTATGCAACTGGGAATCCAAGTACTGGCTACAGACACTATGAGATCTGGAGATTATGAATGACTAAACTATGATGACTTCCTTTTTCTGACGTCTTGCTCCCATCCACGCTGGATTCTAATTCTTGGCTGTGTTTCTGTTGTGTCTCATCTAACCACCTCCTACTGCATGCAAGCTTTCCTTGCATGGTTTAGTAGATAACTCTGATTCATGCTTTCTAATTCTGTATCCCAAAAGACAAAAATCCCTTTTCTTTCAGCTCTAGATGAATAAAGTCCTGGAGAAGAACTTGGAATGACTCAGCCTGGGGCATGGAACTAAAAGGTGGGCCAATTGTCATGGTTGGAGAAAGGTGGTTCTAATGATTGGCTGGGTCTGCATTATATACCCAACCAGGTCTAAGCTGACCCACACTGAATGGGGGAGAGAACATCCAGGGAAAAAAGGGTGTTGAAAGTAAAAATTAATTGTACCCTTTCACTCACAGTATGAAATTCTCTATGCTGAAGAATTTACATCTAGATGTTGATGGTTCTCACTGGGGGCACATGCCAGAATCTCAGAAAAAGAATTAAGTGTTAATTAATTTTAGTCTTTTCTTTATTTTCTCAATTTTATCATTCTTAGTAACTCAGGGCTTTCCATATCCTCCCCAGGCAAGAGTTCATTGGTTTGTTTGTTTTCAACTTTGTGACCCACTGAGCTAGAAGATGGCTCACGATAAGGAAGGGAGAAATGATTGTCGTTGGTGTGGTCCCTGGGTCTGGACCATATGTTCCAATTTCCAGCCTGACTTAATTTTCACACCCTAAAGGAGAAGGGGACTGGCCTACAGGGTTCCAAAGAAGACTCTGTGGTCCTGTTGTCCAATCTAATCCCTCTCCTCCCACTCCCCACGTCCACCCCAGAGCATTTTAAGTGGAGGGGACGCAGAGCGCAGGAAACAGTATAAACAACTCCTTCCAAGAGAAAACCTTGGGGTGAAGTCTGGACCCTACTGCTCACAAGCTGTGTGACCTTAAACCGGTTACGTTACCTGTCTGAACCTTACCTTCCTCCTGTAAATGGGGTAGGGTTAGCTGTTTCAAAGGCTTGTTGATAAGATTAAATTAGATACTTTGGAGGGGGGATAATTGGATACTGCAAAGCACATCTTCTGCTTCCAGACAAGAAGAATTAACAAGATTTACCCTCCCATTTGAAACCAACCAACAAACAGAAAGAGGCAAATACATGAAAAAATATTTTCAAGACATTGTACATCAAGCAATCAAAGAGAATGAGAGATGGAAGATGGAAGAGAAACGAAGCTAGTGCTACAATTGCCCCAACTTGCTTCCAACAGGGGTAACCCAGGTGGAACCTTTGACTCTTTGAGTTGGATTGCTGAGCTGAATGTCCAGCAAGACCAAGGCAACTAGAATAAACAGACCCCTGTGACTAGTGTAAGCAGGGCAGAATTTCGGAGACGAGAGGACTGCACTTTGAGAGAACCCCAAAGATCAGCAGAGAGTCCACCTTGCATATTCAGCCGAGCAGTGATCAGCATGTGCCTGTAAGGAAGCTATTCAAAATAAGGCAAAGAATAACCAAAAGGATTAAAGGAAATGTTGCTAGGTACCTATGCAGCACCAGGAATAATGCCTTTTCCCCCAGTGAAAACGCATATTTCATGGGGCGTAGAGAGAGTACTCAGGAAGGTCTTGCTATAGTAGCAGGGGATAATTAGCTCTGAAAGCACTACTCCAGACCTGCCCAGGAAATCGTAAGTTCGAAGACCCAAAATGATCAAGTTGTCCCCAAGTAACGGTATAGGAAGACAGTGAGACTGTCTAGAGCAGTAAGTAGGTCTTGCCTCTGCCTGGATGCTCCACCATGCTAAAGTTCACAAAGTTGCAGCTGGTCTCCCCATCCATGGGAGAGTAGGAAAGGAGACAGACAGTGCTCCGAAGGATGGAACTTGAAAAATGTACATGTCACCTCTGTTCTCAGCCCACTGGCCAGAACTGAGTCTCAGCTCAAACCTGACTATGGTGAGGCTTCTAAGGATAATCTCTAGCCCCAGGGAGGATCCCGGCTCAAAGGAAAAAGAAGAATATGTACACTGCAGGTGATTACCAGTAGATACACGACCCTATTCCCTTTTATTCTTTATCCAACCCCCCCCCCCGTTATCTGGCCAATTAGCAAATGTGTGGCGGCCCCTCAGGACTTTAATCTCCATGAAGACAAGAACCAGGTCAATTTGGTGTATTCCTGCTCAAGACCTGTTTTTGTTTGTTTGTTTTGTTCTTGCTTCTTTTCTTTTCTTTTTCAGTTTTATACTATTTCCCTACATTGTTTTTCTTTCGACAGCCTTATTGAGCTATACTTCACATACCATCCAATTCACCCGCTGAAAGTGCACAATTCAATGTATTTAACTTTATTTGGAAGATTATGCAACCATGACCATGATCTAATTTTAGAATTTTTTATGACCCCCCCCCCAAAGAAATCTCCCGCCCATTAGCAGTCACTCTCCATTTTTCCCTCGACTGTTTCACACCAGGCAAGAAGTAGTCTACTTCCTTTGTTTTAAATGCATGCAACTGCAACTGCAACAAATCTCAGTCCCACATAGAGTGGGAATTCAATAAATATGTCCTGGGCTTAGTTAAAATCTTACTGCTGTCATCACACATTCTCAAACTAAAGATCCCCTCCAAAGATTTTTTTGGAAACACATCTTGTTACTTAATGGACTTTATTACTGTATCTAGCGGCCCAGAGTAAACAAATAAAATCCCACAACCTGGCAGCTGGCAATTGTCTCATTTTACCTCCACCTTTATCACAGACTTCTGCGAAGGGAACAAGTGTGGCTCCCATTTTACAGATGAGAACACTTGAGTCTGGCTTCTCCATCTAGGGCTGGCTGATTTTGAGAATTGTTAACACCCTTGCTCAACACAGGGCTGTTTGAATCTTCAGCTTTGGCCAAGCAAAAAACACAAAAACCGTTAGGTCATTAAGTCTTAGAAAACGTTGTTTTAACAGGGCTATTTTGGCCTGGGTGTGCGACCTGTTACATAAACAATATTTGTTTTTTAACGGAACCATCACAACCTGCTGACTGATCTGCTCGCCAACCACCCTCCTATCAGGTACTCCTCCTGTGCCATCGTTTTCCCCAAAGTGACATAAATATCCTCACCAACACTCAGAAAAACTGGGCATCCTCACAGACAAGAATTATTTGCTCCTTAAACTGTTTCCCAGCTTGCTCTCCGAGTTGGCAAGATGTCTCTGTTCAATCACTTGATATTCTGATTTTTTTTTTTTACAGTAAACTCTGCAAACAACCAGAAGTACTGACGCCTGCCCTTTCTGATCAGGTGGGTCTGGGGACATGGAAACAGGAGGCCATTTGGGGCTCTGCTTTCTCAAAGAAGGCCCTCCCAGTTTGGATCTACTTGCTTTATCACAATATAGCCACTTAAAGTACCGAAATGAAAATAAAAATTGTTTAAAGTATTTATTTCATAGCTCCTGGTCTTTGCCCTGAGCCACAAAGTTGCCAAATGTTGCTGTCTGCGCTGTCTCTCCTTCCAGCTGGTCCCCTTTCCAAGGGAACAATGTTCTTTCTTTTCAGACACATCGCAGAAAGGATGGATGAAGCGAAGAGTGGCTGGTGAGGGCAGGAGCTGCCTCAGAAGCAAGGGATGAGTGACAGGATAGTGGGAATGTCTGGGAGGAGCGCCCTGCAGATCTGCTCCTGGAGACTTTGAATTTTTGAAGGCACGTGGACGGCAGCCAGGGAAATTCAGATACACTCACCCGGTAATAGATTATTCAGATGTATCTCAGAAAGACAGCTTGGCGGGGGCTGACAGCTATTGTTTCCTTTTGCCACCTTTCACAGGGAGGGGAGCCAAGGAAATGTAGGGCAAAGATGCAGCCTTTCGGGGACGGGAGGTAAGAAGTCATCCAGCCTGTGAAACTTATTGTTCAAGTATTTGCAAGCCTCCTTCCTTTCTCCAGTCTGAGATGGGCAGTGGTGTGAAGTAGAACCCGATAAGAAGGAAAAGATAGAGAAGAAGGAAAGATGAACGCAGACACTATGGACAAATGGAATTTTTGTGAGCTTAATGATTTCTCAGTTCTTTGTGGGGTGGATAATATGAACGCACAATAGTTCAGTGCATGCACAAGTTTTGTAAGATAATGAATATTAATCCCGATTCACCATGCTTTTACTGCACTGCATGTTGACTTTCAGCTATTTTTAAGTAGACTACTGAAAGAGCTTAGGAAATGTTATACCACTCTCCCCCTCCATGTGATTTTCTTGCAACTTTTTTTGACAGATGAACAAATGTCTACGATAATTTCTGAATACTACCTTCTACTGGTTGTTTTTCATGAACATCATGAGTGAGCATTTCTAGGCTGGAAAAGAAAGAGCTTCTAGCACAATGATTTTAACTTGGGGTGCATAAGTATTGTGGGGAGGGTGGAAAATGGGAAGGTGTAGATTTAGATTTTCCCAGGGGAAAAGGCATGAAAACACTTGGAAAGATCTTTAAGTTATCTCACAGCTTAGATTAAATGTTGTACAAACAATGCATTCTATTTGGAAAGTTCAAGGGATTGAGCTAAGATTGTTATTTTTTTTAAAACAAGGAGGGGGTTGACACAACACTGTAAAATGACTATAACTCAATAAAAAAATGTTAAAAAAAAGGAGGGGGGTAATGTTGACCTAGTAACAACTTCCCATTTATAAGTACATTGATATTCAGAGTAACTTACAAACCCAGCCAGTGGAAAAGGGAGAGCTGAGACTTGGAACTAATTACTCTGATTCCAGACTCAAACCCCTTTACAAGATATTCATGTGGCTGGGACATGTTCTGGTGTCTGTCCTCATCATCTCTCTGCTGAAGAGAGGACAGTGAAGAGCGTCAGGATGGCAGCTGATGTGCTTCTACATGCAGTATGTGTTCAGTAAGTGTGATTAGTTTATGCTAATCATTGTGCTAAGCTTTTGTATTTATCATCTCATTTCAGCCTGATACTACAAGTTGGGTACCCTCATCACTCCCATTTCACAGGTGAGCCAGCTGAGCTTGAGAGAGCTTCTGTATTTTGCACACAGTCACACAGTTGGCACCTGGCTAATTCAGTATTAGTGCTCATGGCAACTGGATGCAAAACCTCTACTCCTAATTGCTGGAACATATATACATCTAAGACCACAGCTGCTTCTGTTCTCAAACAATGTGGGCTCCCACTTTGGTAGAGTTTGAGTAGAATTTGACCATCACTCCTTCTCAGTGTTCCAACAGTTGCATGGCCTGCCTCAGCATGCAGTGCACTGAACATCACAGAGGAGAATCAAGTAGATGTAGAATGCCCACTGGGAAAAGATGTCTCTGATCCAGGGTGAAGCATTGACCTGAGGTCTTTTCCAACACTGGGTGTCTATGACTCTCAAGACTTGCTTTCCATGCCCTGTCGCTTGGCTTTTGATCCACTGATTTTGGCTTTCCCACTTGTATCTCTCAGATTGTGGTGTCCACTGGTGTCACCAAGGTGTATACGGTCCTGACCATGCTGCTAAGCTGCCTTCAGAAGCCATACGTGGATTCCAGAAGCAAGGATTTCTGAGAGTTTAATGTTTCTTTTTATTTTCCCAGTGAATCAGGCAATAAACAGCAGTGAAAGGTCTAGACTTTTGCTTGAGTCCCAGCTGGTATAATAACATGGGCTTGTTGAAGTTTGCTGAGACCACACAAAAGTGATGGATCTTTGCTTGGAAGCTGCCTGCCACATAGAAACCTAGCAGCATGCTGGAAGTGCAGATTATGTGAACAGGAAAGGACTTGGTTATCAACTAAAAGTCACCTTGGCTTTGACATATGAGAAAAAATCAGAGAAAGCAAGCAAGTTGCTCTATGTCATACAGCAAGTTGGTGTTAAAGCTGGAACTAAAACTTAGACAGGGACACCTCTGAGATTGTCTCCATGGCTTCTCCCATCAACTAACCATCCATTCAACTAACTCCTCTTAAGGGTCTTCTTGCTGTTGTCTGTGATAGATGGTAGAGATTCAAAGATGAAGACTCCCCATAGCCTATTTGGGTAGTTGATGGTGTAGCAGGAAGAGAAACACAAACCTATTCATTATATGAATTTAAAAGAACTCTAGTAGAGACATTCAGATTCTATGGGAACACAGAGAAGACAGTGGTTGAATTTCCAGGGAAGTCATCCTGGCAGTTTTGTTTGAACTAAACTTTGTGGGATGAGTAAGAGGCTGTTAGGTAGCCTTGTAGGAAAGAGAGAGGCAATTTAAGAACATGGCACAGACATGAGGCTGTGTGCAGACCTGACCGAAAGCCTTCTCTTCACACGTATGCTGAAAACAGAGATGGAAAAAGTTGGAAAAGTAGAAACACTGGCTATCCCAGACAACCTTTTGGGATGCGGGCTGTCTAGGAAGCCTCCTCCATAGAGGAATCCATGGAAATGTGGTCAATCTGGAATAACTGTCTTAAAATAAAATATCTAAGGACCTATCTAACTTGCCCTATCTCATTCTGTATCAGTTTGATTTTCCAAGACAGTTGTTGGCATCAAGAAGAGAGGGAAAAGTCTTAAGCAAGGGGAGGACCAAGGAAGCACAACAGTTTCTCAGACATATTCCTTTATGGAGGCAGCTTAAGGGTGTGGTCAAAGACATGTAATTTAATAACACCAGGAGACCCCATAATGCAAGGCAGACAAGCAAGGAAGCCAAGAGGCAAGGTGTGGAAAATAAGACTCAGGACTCACCGTTGCCTGCACCAGAAGTTTGCAATGTTTGTAACTCTGTCTGAAGATGCAAGAGTCCTTATGACCGAGCACATCCTTACATATATATAAGGCTCATTGCAACAGGGTCCAAAGACCGCCATGATTGGAAAATATGCTCCATATGGTTAGGGTGGTAATAGGATGGACAGTTCACACTACCCACTCTGAGAAGGCCCACAGACCTCAAGGAACTGACGAAGCTACATAGTCTCTCCATCAAAGCTGTGGCGTAATGCCAATGAAGCCAAAATGAGGAGTTTACAGTTCCAGAATGATCAATGTCTCTTTGAGGAAAGAGTGGCCGGATTTACTTTCTCTTCAGTATCTATCTCTGCCTTGACATGTTTTATTTTCCTGTTTTGTTTTTCCCCCTCTAAAGAGATTTGCTTCAGGTCAGCCAGAGAGAGGAGTTTTGCTTAACTCAAGATTTGGCATGGACAGCCAGAGTGGAATAAATTTTGAAAGATCTAAAATGTGGGGTCTGGAATGATTGGCCAAAGTTTCTGAAATTTTTTTCCACATAAAGTCAGCAACTACTCAAAGGGTATTAGGAAGTCTGTACCTGCCTATAATTATCTGATGCATATCATTATTTGATGTATGTAAGGAGCCACACAAATCCCAATTTTAAGTACATATACACTATAATGGTTAACTTTCTGTGTCAAATTGGCTGGGCTATGATGCCCAGATATTTGGTCAAACATTATTCTGGATGTTTCTGTGAAGGTGTTTATTGGGTGAGATTAACAACTTTAAATGATGGGCTTTGGGTAAAGCAGATGGCTCTCCACAGTGTGGGTGGGCCTGATCCAATCAGTTGAAGGCCCTCATAGAAACAAGGCTGACTTTCCCCAAGTAAGAAGGAATTCTGCCAGCAGGCTGCCTTTGGACTAGAAACGCAAGTCTTCCTGGGTCTTCAGCCTGCCAGCTTACTCTGCAGATTTTGACTTACCAAGCCTGTACAATTGTATGAGTCAATTCTATACAATAAATCTCTTGAAAGACATGGATAGATAGATAGATTAGATAAATAGATGATGAGAGAGATAGAGAGAGAGAAAGAGAGAGAAAGAGAGAGAGAGAGAAAGAAAGAAAGAAAGAGAAGTGAAGATGCACATATCCTGTTGGTTCTGTCTCTCTGAAGGACCTTGACTAATACACACACACATACACACACATGCATAGTCATACTACTTGTCTACTCGATGTTAGGCAATACGTCAGATTATTTATATCTGTTTAATTCTCACAAGTATGTGACAATCTAGCTATCTTTATCTCCAGTCTACGGGTGAGAGAATTGGGACTCAGAAAGATTAGATAACTTGATCACAGCTTTCAAGAGACAGAGCTAAGACTTCAACTCAAGTCCATCTGACCAAGACATTGTGCTCAATTCCCCAAGTGATGACAAGTAACTAGGAAAAATGAAACAAATTAAGTGGCAGAACATATGAAGGGAGAAGACCCACAAGTGTGGAATCATCTCCCAATAACCATCACCAGCAAAATCATTTGCAATTGGAAAAGACAGTCTGCTGGAAGAGACAGGGCTGCCCTGGCAAAGGCAAGCAACAGTCCAGATCCCATCTCCCTCCATCTCGGCCCATTCTCCACATCACTTTGATGGGTTTTAGCTGATTCCGGATGTGCCCCGGAGGGAGAAAATTCATGGCAGCCCAAGAGGAGGACAATTAGGTTTCACGTTAGCTCCACTCATGACTTCATCATTGACTGTTTTTCTTTGTTGCAGTATTTTAGAAAATTATCCCAGACAGATTTCTGGAATACATGGGACTTGGAGATATTTTTCAGTCAAGGACATTCCACTGAGAGCAAGCCTCAAGATTGACTCATTAGAGGAAGTGTGTTTTCCAGGCAGTGCCAATGGATACAGGAAGCTGAATCCCAGCTCTGCAATTTTAATCTAGGTGGATGTGGATATGGGGGCAGGTCCCCGGGTTTATCCCCAGATCTCCAATGCCTCCCTTAGATACGAATGGAAGAGGACTATAGTCAGCCCCACTTCTTCTGGCCTTCCTCCTTTCTTTGGCCATGCTCTTAGCTTTCCCCCAAGACTGGGAAACCTTCACCCAGCTTTGATTGTGAGTTAATCTTAACCATTCCTTTGCTTAGAAATAACCAACTCAGAGTGCCTAGGGGTGAAGTCAGGGGGGCATCTTTGTACCTAGAGACAAGCAATTGATTATTTCAGCATTTGTATGCCCCCCACACCATTCTCCACTAGCTTAGATAATCCAGTGTTGACCAAATGATTGTTCCCCCTTGATCTCCATAGTGTGAACATTTATTTCCAGCTTCCCCCAGATTTTCCACGGATGCCTTTGCATCCCAAATGTGTCTCAGTGCTCTCCAAATTTGATTTTGTTTTGTTTTTATTTTTCCCTCTGTATAGTCTTTAAGTAGTCCCCGATGGTGTACACATGTGATTTCATATCACGAGAATGGTGTGGCCGTAGCAATGAAGCATTAGAGTGCATCATAAATCAACCACAGTTTGGGGAAACGATGACAAGTGTGATTTATAGGCTATTTCAGCTCTGACTTCCATATAGCTATTCTCTGATTCACAATTATCCCTTGGAGGAATAGAAAGTAAAAGAAAGTACAGTGTGGGTGGTAGAGTCCCGCCCCAGAAATACACGATAGTCATCATCTCCATATAGGAAAGCAGATATTTATGCTTTCCAAAGGATGACTGTTGCCCGTGGCAACTGGGAAACTGTCAAAACTAGAAGAAGTGAGTCAACTAAGTATCATTTTCCTTTGACCTGGGTAGAACAAGACTGATTTTACATGTTGGTGAAGAGAATTAGAAAATTGCCCGTAATTTATGGCATAGTTAACCCCTAGAATTTAATCTAAGCTACCCATACGTAAATTGAATATACAAATGTTGAGATCAACTTTCGTTTAGGTTAGGTGACAGCAGAAAGTGTGACTGATTTTACCAAAAGGCACTTCTTTTTATACACAGACGACTTGTTGTCTATCAGCCTTAGCTAGGGTGGACTGTATAATTTATCTTCCAATTTGGGATATTTTTAAGAATGAAAGGGGGTGCTTTTAAGTATTCCAGTCAAC